AGAGAGAGGGGGAGGGAGGGGAGGGAGAGAGAGGGGGAGGAGAGGGGGGAGGGAGGGGAGGGAGAGAGAGAGGGGGAGGGAGGGCGAGGGAGAGAGAGGGGGAGGGAGGGGAGAGGAGAGAGGGGGGGGAGGGGGGAGGGAGAGAGAGGGGGGAGGGAGGGGAGGGAGAGGAGAGGGGGAGGGAGAGGGGAGGGAGAGATGAGAGGGGGAGGGAGGGGAGGGAGAGAGAGGGGGAGGGAGGGGAGGGGAGAGAGAGGGGGAGGGAGAGAGGGGGAGGGAGGGGAGGGGAGAGAGGGGGGGGGGAGGGAGAGAGGGGGAGGGGGGAGAGGGGGGGGGAGGGAGAGAGGGGGGGAGGGAGGGGAGGGGGAGCGAGGGGGGAGGGCGAGGAGGGAGCGAGAGGGGAGGGCGAGGAGGGGCGAGAGGGGGAGGGCGAGGAGGGAGCGGAGGGGAGGGGGAGGGCGAGGAGGGAGCAATGGGGGGGCGAGGAGGGGCAAGAGGGGAGCAAGGGGGGGGGCGAGGGGGGGGGGGAGGGGGGAGCAAGGGGGGGGGGGCGAGGGGGGGATCCGAGGGGGGAGGGGGACCGGGGGGGGGGGACCGAGGGGGGGGGGGGGGACCGAGGGGGGGGGCGAGGGGGGGGGGACCGGAGGGGGGGGGGCGAGGGGGGGGGGCGAGGGGGGGGACCGGGGGGGGGGGGGGGGGGGGGGGGTGGCGGAGGGGGGGGCGAGGGGGGGGACCGGGGGGGGGGGCGAGAGGGGGGACCGAGGGGGGGAGCGGGGGGGGGAGCGAGGGGGGGAGCAAGAGGGGGGGGCGAGGGGGGGGAGCAAGAGGGGTGGGGGGAGGGGGGGGGGCGAGGGGGGAGCAAGAGGGGGGGGCGAGGGGGGGGGCGATTGGGGGGGGGTTGCAAGAGGGTCACGGGGGGCCGAGGGGGAGAGCAAGAGGGGGGGGCGAGGGGGGGAGCAAGAGGGGGGGGGGGAGGGGGAGCAAGCGGGGGGGGGCGAGGGGGAGCGAGAGGGGGGGGCGAGGGGGAGCGAGCGGGGGGGGGCGAGGGGGGAGCGGGGGGCGAGAGGGGGGGGGAGAGGGGGAGGAGAGGGGGGGGGCGAGGGGGGAGCGAGAGGGGGGGGCGAGGGGGGGGAGCGAGAGGGGGGGGGGAGGGGGGAGCGAGAGGGGGGGGGGCGAGGGGGGGGGCGAGGGGGGGGGCGAGGGGGGGAGCGAGAGGGGGGGGGCGAGGGGGAGCGAGAGGGGGGGGGCGCGAGAGGGGGGGAGAGCGAGAGGGGGGGAGCGAGAGGGGGGGGACGAGGGGGGGAGGAGAGGGGGGAGCGAGAGGGGGGGGGAGCGAGGGAGGGGGGGAGCGAGGGGGGAGAGGGGGGGGTCGGAGGAGGGGGGGGGGAGAGGGGGGGGGCGAGAGGGGGGAGGGAGCGAGGGGAAGGGGAGAGGGGAGAGATTTTACAGCTTGCGAAGAGTGTTTTTGACATGTGCACCAGAATGTTTTTATGTGCTAAATACTATAAAGGAGGTTTTAAATTCTCATGGTTGTAAAACCTCAGACATGTAATGTGAGCAAAGCACATCCTTCAATACTGTGCATTTGTCCCTATCCAATGCTCCAAGTGAGAGAAATCCTCTCCTGTCTCATTCTGAAGTAAAAGTAATTTCTGACAATTTCCTGACACCAAGAGATAAAAATGTGACAGGGAAGGGAGCTCCAGCATACAGCCTGTGCTTCATAACCTTACAGTGCCTTGAAAAAAGTATTCATACTCCTTGAAATGTTGCACATTTTGTAATATTCCAACTGAAAACATAAAAAAAATGTTTATTGGGAATTTATGTGATAGACCAACACAAAGTGGCATATAACTGAAGTGGAAGGAAAATGATACATGGTTTTCAAAGTTTTTACAAATAAATATCTGAAAAGTGTGGCGTGCATTTGCATTCAGCCCCCCTGAGTCAATACTTTGTAGAACCACCTTTCGCAGTAAATACAGCTGCAAATCTATTTGGGTATGTCTCTACCAGCTTTGCATATCTAGAGAGTGAACAGTTTGCCCATTTTTCTTTGCAAAATAGCTCAAGCTCTGTCAGATTGGATGGTCCTGAACAGCAATTTTCAAGTCTTGCCGCAGATCCTCAGTTGGATTTAGGTCTGGACTTTGCCAGGGCCATTCTAAACACGACTATGCTTTGATCTAAACCATACCTTTGTAGCTCTGGCTGTATGTTTAGGGTCGTTGTCCTGCTGGAAGGTGAACCTCAAGTCTTTAGCACATTAACAGGTTTTTTTCTAAGATTGTCCTGTATTTGGCTTCATCCATATTCCCATTAACTCTGACCAGCTTCCGTTCCTGCTGAAGAAAAGCAACATGATGCTGCCACCTCCATGTTCCGCGGTGGGGATGGTGTGTTCAGGCTGATGTGCAGTATTAGTTTTCTGCCACACAATGGTTTACTTTTAGGCCAAAAAGTTCAGTTTTGGTCTCATATTTGACCAGAGCACCTGCAGCTACTCCAGAGTTACCATGGGCCTCTTGACTGCTTCTCTAAATGATGCTTTTCTTGCTCAGCCTGTAAATTTAGGTGGACACCCATGTCTTGGTAGGTTTGCATGTGTGCCACACTCTTTCCATTTTCGGATGATGGATTGAACAGTGCTCCATGAGATGTTCAAAGCTTGGAATTTTTTCTTCTTTATAACCTAACCCTGCTTTACACTTCTGCACAACTTTATCCTTGACCTGTCTGGTGTGTTCCTTGGCCTTCAAGATGTTGTTTGTTCACCAATTTTCTCTAACAAATCTATGAGGGCTTCACAGAACAGCTGTATTTATACGGAGATTAAAAATTACACACAGGCGGAATCTATTTAGTAATTAGGTGACGTCTGAAGGCAATTTGTTCCACTAGATTTTAATTAGTGGTATCAGAGTAAAGAGGGCTGAATACAAATGCATGCCACACTTTTTAGATACTTGTAAAAAAATTTTAAAACAATTTTTAATTTCCCTTCCACTTCACAATTATGTGCCACTTTTGTTGGTCTATCACATAAAATCCTAATAAAATACATTTACGTTTTTGGTTGTAAAATAAAAACAAATTTCAAAGGGTATAAATACTTTTTCAAGGCACTGTAGCTCTACATGATCTCCATAAACTGTGAGAGGGTGTGGACATGCACTTTGAGACTTCAGATCCCCACCCCCCTGCTTTTCAGAACTTAAAGATCCTGTGTAAATTCTGAACTCTGAATGGCTGTAGAGGACAGATGGCTGCTAAAAAATGGGTACAACCTATGTAGGAGGATTTATTTCATCACCTGAGGCCAGTCACTTCACTGGGTGTAAGTTAGAGTTTTCAACCACTTTAAAAAAGGATTGATTTTTTTCTATTTAAATACAGGTATATAGGTATAGATGTTAAAAGCGCCTTCACCAGGTACTAAAACAAAGTGAATCTACCAAAACAAACCAAAAAAACTTGGCTGCTGCCCCTTTAAGTGTGTACCACGCTTTAAATATGTGCAAAGATATAATAGTAAGCACTGGACACATGTACAATACCACCTAGTGTTACAAGTTAAAGAGCAATAGCGTATTAAATAATAAACAGTGATTTTAAAACAGAAAATCCAATAGAAGTGAGTCAATGGCCAAATGTATGGCAACATCACCTAGTAATACAATTGTAGTACAAGGATATATTTTGTAAAAGGTGATAATGAAAAGTCAAAAAAAAAAAAAAAAAAAGTGTCAGTCCCCAAACACCATTTGCCAGTAAAAAGTGAAGTGCTCAGTTCTTCTACTTTCAACCATATTCCACCAATATGTATGGTAAATAATGCACTCACCAGAACACATCAGCTAACAGAATAGCCAACAAGCATGTGAGATCAAATGTTCTATGAATAAGTTGGGCTGGCACATACTGTGTTCTCATTACCGAGCTAAGGAAAGGGAGGAGAGAGAAGCTTGTTTCCTGGCCCAGCCCCCAGAGGAAGATTAGTTCTGAGAATGGAGGAGATGGTTTAATGCTGCCTAAAGTGGACGGGTCCTAAAGAGAACATAGAATGCGACAGCCCACCAAATTTATACAACATTTGATCTTACATGCTTGTTGGCTACTCTGTAAGCTGATGTCTTCTGGTGAGTGCATTATTTGACCACACACATTGGTGGAACACTGCTGAAAATTAGAATTGAGCACTTCACATTTTACTGGCAAATGGTGTTTGGGAACTCTGACACTCTTCGTTTGGACTTTTCATTAAAACCACCTTTATAAAATATATCATTGTACTACAATTGTATTACTAGGTAATATTAACACACATTTGGCCAGTGACTTACTTCTATTGGATTTTCTGTTAAAATCACTTTTATTTAATACGCTATTGTGCTTTAATTTGTAACACTAGGTGGTATTGTTGTACATGTGGCCAGTGCTTACTTTTATTTCTTTGCACTTACAGTTAAGTTAATGTAAGAATTTTTTAGGGGACCGTGGAGTTCATAAGATAGGATTTTGTAGACCATATGTATAAATGTAATTAATGCCTAAAACGCCAGACCTATAGGAGGTGTGAACAACCATAGGAACAATATTTACAAACTTGGACTAATACTAGTAACATCATCTGTACATCACCAGCAATAAAAGTGTTGTTTAATATCGGGCATGCAAAAAAAAAATAAAGAAAAGAAAAAAAACATTATAATAATAATAATTGTGTAACACATTATCTGTGGTTTACATCCAAAGGTTATTCCATTATTGTTGACTAACCTGAAGGACAATTGGGTCAATACAGGTAAATTTAGTCTCTTCTCTATATAAATACTCAATGGAGCATTTCAGAAGTAAAATTTTAGGGCTTTTAATACAGGCATTCATCTGTAACAAAAACAAAACAAACAGTCAGCACTGATTAACTACTAGCACAGTAATATTTTACCAACAAAAAATCTAATTACCTTTTTATGTGCAATATTTTTTGTGCAAACAAATCCATTTACCACCATGGAATCAGACTTCTTTCCCCCTGGAATCTACAAGCAAACAATATACATAGCAGTATATCACAAATAATTTAAAATTAGCAATATAATATGAAATTGGATGTATATTCAGCTTGACAGTACAACACAATAAAATGCATGGGTGTTATGTAATCTGTGGAGGAGTATAAAGTTTACTAAATTATGCACACATACAAAGAAAAATCTGTCTCTAAGGCTGGTGTTCATTTTCCCACTTATTTTTTTCTAAATTAAAACTCACATTTTATTCTCACTATGGATTACCACAGTCTGTGAAGTGTCAATAAGAATAATAAATGCTTTCTCCCCCTCATGAAAAGCAGATTTCTAGTCAAAAACAAGATAAAAATAGTCTATTAAAAGATAAAACAAAACCAGATTCTTTTTCTGCAATATTTAGCTTCAATCCAGATCCTCTGCCTCTTGATGTCCTCAGTCTAATGGCTAGTTTTATTCAACCCACTGCCTCTAAGCCTAGGTTGCCATGTGCCTGCCACAGCCTGTCACTGAACAACGAAAAGGAGAAGTACAATGGTGACCTTGACATTATTCCATTCACATAGCATTACTTAACCTCCCTGGAGGTATTCCCGAATGTAGCTCAGGGTAAAGTTTCAGCACCACAAACGGTAACCCCGAGCTGCACTCGGGAATACCCTGCAGCGTTGCTCTGGAATCCCTTCTGCACTTACCTTGTCCTTCGCTCCTGCGATGTCCGTCCTGCTGCGTCCCCGGCCATCTCCTCCGGCCGATGCCGGCATCTGTCTTCAGGGTTCCGTTCCCTGCGGCGTTGGGACGTAACCGCCGGGAAATTTAAAAAATTGACACTCACTCAATACACTCAAATCACATAGTAAAACACTACTGTATCAAACCATTTCACATACATTTTGTCCCTAGTGCTTTGTCCTGTGCCCTGCCTGCATTTTTACTGCTTTCTGCCTGTAAACTGTGAAAAGTCCATGGCATCCAAAAAGCTTCCCTTTAGGTCAAAAGCGGTTTTAGACCAGCTAGAGAACATCGATAGTAAATTAGGACCACTTGCAGAATTGAGTGATGATTGGGGGAATGGGGAAATTCATCATCAAACCCTGAAAACGATTTTGCGACTAAGCTCACTGATGTGCGAACTTTGCGCTCTATTTCAAATTTCAGTGTTTTGGTTTGATTAAATTATTGAATTAAATTTATATTATTTTTTGATTTATTAAATTATAATTAATGATTTCGGGTTTGAAATTTTAACATACCCGGGATGTTTACTAGACTCTTGTTCGGACAGATGTCAGTGAGTTATTCCTAAGAATTACAGGCCTACAATAAAAAAACAACATATTTCCATGCAAAAAAATGTACTGCTTTGAGCACAGAAATACTGACATAATCATACCGCTAGGGAGGCTACAGAAATGTTGAATAGGGGACTGGACAGTTAGTTTAGGCAAGCCATTGATTAACAAATCTTGTTTACAATTTGCACTCACAAAAAAAAAGATATTTTTCCTAACAAATTAATTCAAGACCATGTTGCAAAAATGAATACACCCCAATGAAGGTCTCAGGAGCAAACCTAAATTTTAGACAAAATCCTAATTAACAAGAATTCAACTACAGGGGAGTCTAATTATTCAGTAAACAGGTATAGTGTCCCCATAAACGCATTAGCGGGATCAGCCCTGGCACCTGCGTTTAGCTCCTTCCCCCCCAGGAAGTGTAGGGTCAAGTACGTAACTGTCACTTGATACATTGCACACAACCGCAGTGTTCGCAGAATCAGGCTTGATCTCTGCTAGCACTTGCAGGTACTTTTTTTTGTAGCGGTTGAAGCAGTCCCTGAAAGCCAGGTGCTCTTTTTCCCCATGAGTTGCACTAAGTACCTAAAAATTTAGAGGCCAAAATGTCCAAAGAAGGGTATTCTAGTGAAGAGGCCTACAGGATTCTGAGCAAGTTAGATGAGAGCGAAGGGGAAGCCTCACTGACAGAATCTGACTCAGAATACAAACCTGCAGACAGCAGCACCTTGACAGATAGCTCAGAAAATAGAGAAGAGGTCCCTGCTTAGGTCAGGCTTACCCGACCCCATTCCCAGGTTGCTGAGATGTTACAATTGCATGGTGACTCATATGCAGCAGACTGCCAGTACTAGTGCCGCTCAACCTTTTGGTGAACAGGCGAGCACCAGTGACCTAGTATATCCTGGTCTTCTACATACCAGCTCTGCAGTATCACTTGGTGACATGGCAAGTACCATAAGTGCAGTACAAAGTCCTGGTGCGGTGACTAGCACAAGTAGTGTCCTGCAGCCACCAAGAATTCGCACACAGGCCCGTAGAGCCCCTAGTGTCCTTCTGGATGGGTTTGCAAATCCTGACTAGCAACCCACAAATTCTGCAGCACCCGTACTTCCCCCATACCCTGACCAACCTGGATTTCAGGTGAAAACAGCAAATTTAACTATTCACCTTGATTTTTTGGAGAGGTTTTTCACAGAAGCTCAGTATGCATGGATTGTGGATCAAAGCAATTTATATGCACAACAGTTTATAGCCGCCAACCAAATTACATACCTTGCCAGCCCATTTGCATGGAAACCTATTACAGTTTCCGAATTTAAAGTTTTTTTGGGTCTTATATTCTAACGGTGGGCATACCACACACTTTCTGGCAGAGATTTCTTCTCTTTATTTTTTATTCAGCACACAGGCTGCATAAAAAAAAAAGAAATTTGAAAAAAAGTCGCTGCGCGAATACAGAGTGACAGCACCCACCATTTTTTTCACTAGGGTTTCTGCTTCAAAAAATATATAATATTTGGGGGGTAAGTAATTTCCTAGCAAATAAATACTGATTTTTCCATGTGAACAAAAAGTGTCAGAGAAGGCTTAGGCTTCAGGTGGTTCAAAGAATGAGTGATGTGTGGCATAAACTTCTAATCCTGGGTACCCCAAACTATTTGTTGAGAGGCATGATAAGTCAATAAAAGAATTTATCTTTTTACCACAAGTCTTTGGAAAAATGACAATTTTTTTTCCTGTCACTTAAATTATTTATTGCTCACACATGCCATTAGGTATATGTGTAATTACTCCAAAATACATTCTGCTACTTCTCCCGAGTATGGCGATATCACGTGAGACTTTTTGGCAGTCTAGCCATGTACAGGAACCCAAAATCCAATAAGCAACTTCAGGCTTTTAAAGAGCTTTATTTCCTCATTACACTTCCTGCCTACCTATCACAGTTTCAGAAGCCCTGAAATGCCAGGATAGCACCACACAACCCCCAAATGACCCCTTTTTGGAAAGTAGACAACCAAAGGAATTTGAGAAGAAGCATGTCGAGTATTTTTCAGATTTCGTTTGTTTTTTATATTTCTTCATTTTCCAAAAACTTATGGCAACAAACATTGCCGCTCTTTTTCAAAACCTTATGAGAAAAAAATTAGATCTGCAAAATACTCACCATGCCTCTTTAAATTCCTTGGTGTGTCTACTTTCCAAAAAAGGGGTCATTTGGGGGGGGGGAGTTTGTACTGTCCTGGTATTGTAGCACCTCAAGAAATGTAACAGCTATGTAAATTCCAGTATCTAAACCAAAGATTGTAGACGCTATAACTTTCATACAAACCAATATGCAGTTATTGGGATTTTTGTTTACCAAAGACATGTAACAAAATACATTTTGGCATAAATTTATAATGAAGTTTGAGTTTATTGGATATTTATGAGTATTTTATATACCGTATGTAAACACTAACTTTTTTGATGTGAACATATTGGCGGATGTCCATGTCATCATCATTCTTGACATCAGGTCGGACAGTCTGAACCACTTGGCAAACTAGTGGCACTATGATGTCACGCCACGAAAGAGATAGTGATTCATTATATAGAAGCTGCTGCAATAGGGACATCATGTGACTGTGATTGGCAGACCTGTGGAATATGAAAACTTCTTTTACTAGTTACATCACACTTCAATTCCTAGCTAGGACTGGTACTACCAGGCTTAAGAAGTTGCTGCACCTTTGAGACATGGGACACACACACGCTGACCCAAGTGCAGGAAACAAATGCACTATAATCTTCCATAGGCACAGTAAATCCAAGTTCACTGCGATGGCTACAGGCACAGTGAGAGGCTTATGAGTTGAACACTCATTTATACTTCTTCAATATTTTTATTGAAAAATTGGTATACAGTGGTATACACAGAAATAGAAACAATTTCCACCTACATGGTGAAATGGAGTGCATCAACATATTCATAGAACATATAAGCACATGAAAAAAAAAATATTAGTCAATGACAATATATACAGAGAACACCATCTCCACCAGGTAACAAACATTCCATCAATCACTGAACATAGGTATTGCCATATAAATGTACCAAAAGTATAAAAACCAATTCAGGGGAAAAAAAAGGATTAAGAATAAAGAAAAACAGAAAAAAAGATCTAGGATAAGACAGAAAAAACGGGGGAGAGGAGGAGAGAGAGGAAAGAAGAAAAGAAAAACCCGGAGGGGAGAGAGAGAGGGTCAGCTGCAGTACTATTAAATAATAGAGATATATCTGATCCATGGTTCCCACGTCACCTCAAATCTAGAAACATCATTATTGACAATGCTTGTAAGTTTATCATTTACCATTATCCAATTAAGTTTTTGTTTAACCCGTCTAGCGGGATCAGTGATTGTCTCCAACTTCTAGCTATGGTACTGCGTGCCGCCAGTAAGTGGTAAAGAATTAATTTAGTCGATTTTTTGGGAACGTCAGCAGATAGCAAATGAACACTCATTTAAAACGAAATCTTTTATTAGAGAAAAGTAGGCTGCCGATGTTAACACCTTCTAAAAGTACTATTTGCCTGGCTCTCAAGTGTACCCTCCACCTCCAGTAGTTGCTGTGATACTAGTACATATGCAGCACATGAAACAAGGAGGTCAAAACTTTTTATGTCAATACCCATGGCTGGGTCAGTGATCCAGAAACAAAACAGCCCTGAGAAAAGTAACGTGCAAAAATATATAATACGCACTTAGGTCTTAGAAACCAGCATGTAGCAAAGCAGCCTACACTATATCCTGATACAAGATATAAAAATATTAAAATGCAAAGTGTAGCCCTATAAAAACAAATGTACAATAATTCATATGAGCCTCAGAACCATCTGTGCGCGTGGTGACTTGTGTCCTGGCTCTGCCAAATGCATTTCATCGTATTTGACCTGAGCCCCTGATGACGTCACGTATGATAAAATTCCTTGAGCAAAACCATGACGTACATCAACAAGCATGCCGACCAGCCAGTGGCCATCTTGGATTCTGGGACATCACTGATTTCTACTGTAGTACAGAACTGTAGATGTCCTTACATATGTGAGTAGAAGAGTTTTCGTTCATAAAGCTTTTACAAATGGATTTATACTAAGGGGAGGGTTTCCCTTGTTTCATTGGGTTATATGTAACATTAATCTTTTAGATGTGTGGATGTGACAGGAAGGTTTTTGCATTGTAAAGCCCACTGCTCTCTGTGCTATGCAGATGTGAGGAAGCTGGAGGAGTTTTGAGTTGTACTGTATCCTGGCAGAGGTTTTAACTGCTGCAGCCTTTATGACCACTCTGTGTACACAAGGCTTACCATTAAGTTATGACCCTCAATACTCAGAGTGGGATGTGCAGCACACTGTCAACATTTGTTTTCACTAGCACCAACAGGGAGAGCAATTACAAGATTTTTTTTTTTATTGGCAGTGCTTTGTAAAGTCTCTGTATGGAAATTTGATATGAATAGACTTCATGTTTGCACCTTATATAATATCACTTTATGCATGGAATAGAATATTTTTGTACATCGTGTTGTAACAAATACTAACAATGGTCTTTAGTGGTTTACTTTGCACTATGTGTACTTTTTGCTGCACTAATGGAATATTGCACATTTGTTGTATAGCGTCACACTTTGTATTTCAGAAAGTAGCAAGTCAAAAATGAAAGCTTCCATATTTATCCTGTCAGTTTTCTATTAAAACATCATGATAAATATATTCTTACAGTAGCCTCTCCATTGCCTGTTTTTCACCATTTTCTTCTCTTAGTTGATCCAGGGTGTTATGATGCCATCCCAAAGGAGTGAAGGGTAAATCTTTAGATTTCTCTTCCACTCGTCGATTGAATAGAGATTCTACAAAGAAATAGTCCAGATTAATAATATCTTGACATCTAGGAAGCAACTTTCAGCATAATGAAGATATATGTTACAACCAAAAACAAATGTATTTTATTAGGATTTTATGTTACACCAAAAACAAATGTATTTTATTAGGATTTTATGTGACAGACCAACACAAAGTGGCACATAATTGTGAAGTGGTAGGAAAATGATAAAATAGTTTTCACATTTTTTTGCAAATAAATATCTAAAAGGTGTCATATGCATTTGTATTCAGCCCCCGAATCAATACTTTGTAGAACCTCCTTTCACTGCAAATCTTTTTGGGGATGTCTCTAAAAGCTTTGCACATCTAGGAGTGTGACATTTTTGCCCAATCTTCTTTGCAAAAAAGCTCAAGATCTGTCAGATTGGATGGAGAGCGTCTGAACAGCAATTTTCAAGTCTTGCCACAGATTCTCAATTGGATTTAGGTCTGGACTTTGACTGGGCCATTCTAACACATGAAAAGGATTTGATCTAAACCATTCCATTGTAACTCTGGCTGTATGTTTAGGATTGTTGTCCTGCTGGAAGTTGAACCTCTTCCCCAGTCTCACGTTTTTAGCAGACTAACAGGTTTTCTTCTAAGATTGCCTTGTATTTGGCTCCATCCATCTTCCCATCAACTCTGACCAGCTTCCCTGTCCCTGCTGAAGAAAAGCATCCCTACAACATGATGCAGCCACCACCATGCTTCATGGTGGGGATGGTGTGTTCAGGCTGATGTGCAGTGATAGTTTTCCGCCACACGACGATTTGGTTTTAGGCCAAAAAGTTAAGTTTTGGTCTCATCTGACCAAAACACCTTCTTCCACGTGTTTGCTGTGTCATCCACATGGCTTCTCGCAAACTGCAGACATGACTTCATATGGCTTTCTTTCAACAATGGCTTTCTTCTTGCCACTCTTCCATAAAGGCCAGATTTGTGGCGTGCACGACTAATAGTTGTCCTGTGGACAGATTCTCCCACCTGAGCTGTGGATCTCTGCAGCTCCTCCAGAGTTACCATGGTCCTCTTGGCTGCTTCTCTGATTAATGCTCTCCTTACCCAGCCTGTCAGTTTAGGTGGACAGCCATGTCTTGGTAGGTTTGCAGTTGTGCCATACTCTTTCCATTTTCGGATGATGGATTGAATTGTGCTCCGTGAGATGTTCAAAGCTTGGGATATTTTTTTTTTTTTTTTTAAATAACCTAACCCTGCTTTAAACTTCTGCACAACTTTAACCCTGACCTGTTGGGTGCGTTCCTTGACTTTCCTGCTGCTGTTTGTTCACTAATGTTCTCTAACAAACCTCTGAGAGCTTCACAAAACAGCTGTATTTATACTGAGATTAAATTACACACAGATGGACTATTTACTAATTAGGTGACTTCTGAAGGCAATGGTTTCCACTAGATTTTAGTTAGGAGTATCAGAGTAAAGGGGGTTGAATACAAATGCATGCCACGCTTTTCAGATATTTGCAAAAAAAATTTGAAAACCATTTATCGGTTTCCTTCAACTTCACAATTATGTGCCACTTTGTGCTGGTCTAACACATAAAATCCCAATAAAATACATGTAAAACCTTTTGGTTGTGAACATAAAATGTGGAAAATTTCAAGGGGTATGAATACTTTTTCAAGGCACTGTAGCTATGGCTGTTAGATTAAAATACTACAACTTGACTTGAGCACAACTGTATTCTTTTCTACAATGCCTTTGAAGCTAATGGATCAGATTCACACATAACCTGGTACTTCCCTTTAATGATGCATAGGTTGCCCATCAATACCAGTACAGTCAAAGGCTGAAAACTGTCACAAAGCATTTGAGTGAACATTTTCAACAAGTTTTAATTGTGTACGGCCAACTTTAGAATGTGCAACTTTTTTCAGTTAGGGGAAAGCATTCTGCCCAATAAAGGCAATATCAGGCACCCTGTACTGCCTGTCTTTGCTTTTAAAAAAAGGCTGACTGCCTCAACCAGCACATTGTACAGAATGAATGCTGAAGAAATGCTCCCAACTAGAAATGAGCTTGAATGTGTTGAGCTCCTAGCCTGTACTCAGGTAAGAGAACCCACCAGGAAGCTGTCACCTGTACTGTGCCAGTCATAAGACGCTGAGGCATTCCCCGCCCCGCAGTACACATGCCCCTTGTATATGTATGGCAGCAGGAAGAGAATATCTCGGACACGTACATTTGGCACAGTGCAGGGGACAACTTCCTGATGGCTTGCTCATATGAGTTCCAACTAGGATCCAAAACTGAGCTTGTCCTTACTCCTGACCCACTCACTTAGAGGAAAATAATGATCACTGGAGTGTGGAATGGTTAGAGAGTGAGAATCAGGTCTTATAGCACAAGACATCTTGTGATTCAGTACACACTGAATTTTTTTTTGTTCCACCAGCAATATGGAAGAAAAAAAAAAAAATTCCCCCACTGCACTATTGCAGTCTGACGGGAAGAGAGGGGGGGGTGCCCCTCATCAAAATTGATTGAATGCTGGTTTTCCAGCAGGGCTGTTGGACAGAAACCAGTCTAACGATCAGCTTCTGTTGATTAGAGAGGGCTACACATTGGTTGAAATTCCAGCCAATTTTCGATATGTATACACACAGCAGGGCTGGATAATTCTTCAGATAAACTAAATATCCCTTTATGAAGGCACAGCTAGACTGTATAAAATGAAACACATTGTAATGTATCAGCCGATGAACGAGGCATTTTCAAAATTTTGTTTAAAAGGCTGAAAGCCACTTTATTTTGCAAGAAGTGAATGACAAAGTATTTTTCCCCCGTCACTAAACAAGTTCACTTTAACAAAATGAACGTGTTCTAGTCTCATTGTCAAACAGCTCCATAAATCAGGACATTTACTTTATTAAATAATAAAAATAACTGATAAGAAGCAATCCCTAAGTGTTTTTTTTTTTTTTTAGTTACCTTTGATGAAAGCGTCACTAATTGAAATGATCTGCTGACCTCCGTCTTCAGACTGAAGAAACTCTAAAGAGAAGAATGATGACAGAACAAAAAAAGATTACTTTACAGATTCCCTCTATGTGATGTGCAGTGCACACCCTGTATGACTCATACTGCATAAAAACAGATGCCTCACATTTCTGCTCGCCTACCACTTGCAGAATGTGCATGTCACCACACTGTTCACTAAAGAGTGACACTGTACTCAGGCTTCCAGTGCCACAGTGGTACAGTTCTATTTGTATGGGTTTACCATGGCAATCGTGTCTGAACAAAAAAAAAAAAAAAAAAAAAAAAAAAAAAAAAAAAAAAAAGGGAAAATACATGCATCTTTTTCAAAAGCTTAAGAAAAAAGCCTGGAGCTGTTCAATATACAATATAACTAAATCGATTTCTCTTCTTTAACCACAAGCCTACAGGGCACTTATACCCCCTTCCTGCCCTGGCCAATTTGCAGCTTTCAGCGCTGTCACACTTTGAATGACAATTGCGTGGTCATGCAACACTGTACCCATATGAAATTTTAATCATTTTTTTTTGTGACAGATAGCGCTTTATTTTGGTGGTATTCAATCACCTCTGGGTTTTTTATTTTTTTCTTAAACAAACCAAAAACCACTGAAAATTTTGAAAAAAAAAAAAGTTTTTTTTTTAGTTTTTGTTATAAAATTTTGTAAATAAATGATTTTTCTCCTTCACTGATGTGCGCTAATGAGGCTGCAGTGATGGACACTGATAGGAGGCACTGATGAGGAGGCACTGAAAGGCAGCACTGATACATGGCACTGATAGGCGGCACCGAAAGGCAGCTCAGATGGGCACGGATATGGGCATTGATGTGCACGGATAAATGTGGCATTGATGTGGCACTGATGGGCACTGGCACGAGGCACTGATGGACACTGACAGGTGGCACTGCTGGGGCTACACTGATCATCAGGGCATACTGATCATCAGTGCCCTGATGATCAGTGTACATGTCCCCTCCGCGGAAAGCCGATTACCAACTCTCCTCTCCTCACGAGCTGTCAGCGTGACAGCTCGAGAGGAGAGAAATGCAGATAACCGGCATTTCCCTGTTTAAATGTGATCAGCTGTGATTGGACACAGCTGATCACATGACCGAGCCGACATCTTCGGCTTTTTCCGTGATCAGTGATCCGCTGTGTCCGAGGGATACAGCGCACCGCTGATCGCCATACTGCGCGCTCCCTGAGCCGCGCATGCGCGGTGAGAATGGGAGGAGATCATGACGTCCTCCCAGAACGAGAGAACCACCTTGCGTCCATCATATTACTATATGGCGGGCAGGCGGTGGTTAATGCTACTTTCACACTGATACGTGGCAAAAAATACATATGCGTTTTTGCAGCATATTTACCACATTTTTACCGTGTTAATGGTGCATTTTTAAAAAACATGCGACTAAAACAACCACATAAAAAACTGTTTTCCACTGAATTCATTGGGGAGGTGTGTTTTTTATGCATTTTTTTTTTGTCCACACCAGACCCACAAACAGATCAGTGTGAAGCGTTCCAAAGAAATACATGTAAACATGTTTTACTTTTTTATTTTTTTATTTTTTTTTTTTTAACACAAAAGCAGAAGAAAAAAAAAATAGATCAAGCATGAAAGCAGCCTTATTCTTAATTTTAGACTGCCAATCCATAAAAAAAAAAAACCTGCCTGGATTTTAAAAGAGAATATCAAAATTGTTTCAGGGTCCGTTCACACGAACACGCACTGCGATGAGACATGTGCTGCAATTAGCTTTTTCTCATGTGCTGAACAGACATTACCGCAATCCACTCCTTTTGAAAAGGTCCCAATGCAATAGAAATTACTTCTGCTCCATTTTTTTGCATTGCAATGCATATGGTGCATTATGGCGTCCTTTAGTGCAGGTGCATTGTCCGTAGGTGTGTCTGGGTGCCATTCAGAATGCTGCCACTGTCCAATCAGAAAATACAGCCCGTTCATCCATCTGGCTGCACTGTTTATCAGGATAATATAAATCTCTGAACTTGGTAGACAGAAAAATACTTTGGCAGGTTAAACATTAGCCAATATATCCATTTTATCTGTATATTTAGCGGTTTGCCTTAACCACTTGCCATCCACTGACCTTCTAAAAGGAGCCTGGACATCAAGCGGTTAAAACAACCTCATGGCTGAGCTTGCTATATACATTTTTTTCAGCCGACTCCCAGCTATTCAATAAAATGATCACTTTTACGGTACCATGAAGATCTGATAATGCTCAGTCCTGTGCATGATCAGCTGCAGTGAAAGGCAAGGGAACCAATAGGGGGTCCAATAGACTCCTTCTGCCACCATAAAGTAAACCAGTCACCTGAAACAGGGGGCTTCCTGGCTCCCTTGTGAAAGCAATAAAGTTAAAGTTTAAAAAATGTGAAGTATATGAAAATAAAAATTTCAACAGCATTCCCTTCACCTCACGTGCACAGACTGTGGGCGTCAGAATGAGAGCAACAATTCTGGAGCCAACATTCATGGTTAACTCTAAACTGATGATCTATAAAAGCTTTTAACCACTTTCCCTACAGGAGGTTTTACCCCCTTCATGACCAGGCCATTTTTTGCTATACAGCACTGCGCGGTCATGCAATGCTGTAATCAAGTGACATTCTTTTCACATAAATAGACTAGTTTTTGTTTTTTTTTTGCTATACAGAAATGGGGAAAAAAAAAAAAAACAAAAAAACAAACATTGCACAGCCATGAATGGGTTACATTCATAGCAGCTTTGATTACTTGTGTGCGCTGTGACTGGCCCACAGCTATCACATGGTACAGGATGTGATTGACCCAGGTTCTATGTGATAGCTGTGGGCCAATTACAGCATCACTATAGAAAAGCACAGCTGTTATGAATGAAATTCACTCATAACAGCTTTTTTGACATTGTGATCACATGATCCCTAGGCTGACCAAAGCGGCCGGTAGCCCGGTGGACACAGCAGTTAAGGGAGGGGCATGCCAGTTCGCATATGCCAAGTGATGTACAGGTACTTTTTCCTGCTTGTGCCAACTGCCCACAGTACATATGGGTAGTCTGGAAGTGGTTAAAGAGCCGCCCATGGACAAATATATATTCCTATGTGAACCACATAAATGCGTTAAAGCTTGTTAAACACTAATGCAGTTCTCTATTCCCTTTGTAATGATTTAAAAACACTAGACAGTTAAGTCAGTGCAAATTAATAACCAATTGATAACCAAAAGTGGATTAAAAACAGGTGAAAGATCAAAAGCTGGTGAGAAATTAGCTGTAAAGAGAGCCTGATTTGTCAAACCATCAATGGCTGGCATACAATTCTAGAACATTTGTGCATTTCAAACTTAAGATCATTTAGAAAAAGCAATTAACACACCAATTGTGAACCTGGCTGCTCTTCTGAGACAGAAGCTGCTTTCATCTGCAGCCTAATCACTTTTGGCCATATCTGCCAAGTACAACTATTGATAAATTACCTATTGACATGCATTACAAATCTTTTTGAATATCAATGACTGTGTTCATTCAGAGATCATACATAAATCCACCAAACATTCTATTTTATCAGAATGAATGAAATTAAAAAAAAAAAAAAAAAAAACACCAAGCATGACTCTAAGAGTCTTTTCACATTGATGTGTTTTTGATGCAATTTTGTACAGCTTAAGGGCCCTTCACACTGATGTGCTTTTGATGCTCCCATTGACCATTGAAGCTGCCTTTTTTGTGTGCTTTCGAATAACTGCACCAAAGATGCAGCACGTAGGACTTTTCAAAATGCAGTGCACCTGCAGTTGAACAGTTACCTAGGATTTAGTGGGGGAATAGTTTTATGCCCTAGCAAAAGTGCACCAGTGTGAAAGGGCCTAACAAAGTAAATTGCAAGGTATGCCCACATAATTGTTCAACTTTAATACAGAGATTACCCCACCAATGACAACTTCAGTCTGATGGCAAGCATCATTTAACCCACATCCTCTGAGCCCAGGTCTGCCAGGACCCACCCCAACCTGTCACTGGACAGGGAAAGGAGAAGCAATAAAATGACAATGCCATTCTCTTATCAGCATGTTTCTTTTCAGCACATCAGTTGGCTTCTTATGCTGTAAAGGAACTGTGAGAGGCGGATACCAGGAAAAAATGCAGGTACTTAACACTGCTTGCATTTAAAAAATAAAAGGATTACAGCGCTGCATTAACTTTTGTACAATATTTCTGCCTAGAGTTCAGGTTTAATGCACTCACATCAGGTACCACAACCAGAACTTGATTCTCTCTAATGAAGGCAGAAATCCATTCATAAATTCTGCTCCATGTTCACCTATGTGCAAATCTAGGGATATTTATCAACAAAATGCAAGACCAATTGCTGTACAACACCCTATGACAACCAATGAGTTGCTTAAACAGCTTTGGGCCCCCTTCAAACTGCCCTGCTGTGGATCTCCTGTAGTGCAGGCGCACAGTTTTTGTGCTGGTTACTGAAATTTTCTTAGACTATTAGACAGGGCATTTTTAGTGTGTTTTCTGAAACAGCATTAACCCCTTCACACTTAAGGGTAAAACAAATCTTAATGCTTAAGCACAATTTTGCAATGTTGACATGTGTTCGTAAAACTGTACATATCACTACTTTGTACATCCAGGTGAATTATACCTTGTTTTTTTCAGGACAAATTGGGCTCATTTAGTGGTACATGGTAATGGATATCTCCTGACTTTTTTTTTTATTATCAAAAAGAAAACTGGCCCAAAATAGCAAAAAAAAAAAAATAATATCAAAGAACAACCCTAAATAAATTTTCCAGCTCTTGACAATCACAGTGATACACTATATGTGTATGTTATTTGTTTGTTCCTGTAAAACAGCCCAGAAACAATAGTGCGCATTTTGCTTTTTGTTTACCTAAAAACACACTGACACGAATACCAATTTTTTTTTTTTTTTTTTTAATCCTGACTTTTGACCCTGACCCAAACACTTAACTTGGCACTGAACTAGATCAAACCTTGATCTAGGTTTTTTTTATTTTTTAATAAACATTTTTCCCCCCTCTATGCCAGGAGGTAGATAAAATGTATCATAGAGAAAAAAAAAAAAACAAGGGGGCCGGGCTGTACAGTGACTGATCACAGCGATCATGTGACCCGGAATTGGGAGTCCCGGACGTCAGTACGGGACCCACGACTCTGTGACACCCCGGTCTTTGTGCTGGGAACACGCAGTGCGGCGCGTTCACAGCAGAAAGACAGGTATGCAAATATGCGGCCCCACGGAAAAAAGCCCGGTTCTGTGAGGCCACATATTTGTGTTACGTTGGCATCAAGGGGTTAATGGTGCAGCATGCAGAGCTTTTGGTGTGCTTTCAGAAAATGCACCAAAAACACAATCTAATAGAAGTCTATACGAAAGAGCAAGTAACCCCACACAAAAACTGCAGGTACACAGTGTGGGGAAGCTGCAGCAAGACAGTGAGAAAGGGACCTTATGAGAGACTGATAACTGCAGCTCTGGGGTGCCATATAGCTCTGCTCTTTGGAAGATATAAACGAAATAACGCCAGATGTTGCAATAATGAAGATTAAAGTTACAGAATGTTTCAGCTAATTTCTACATTACAGAGTGATGTCTGTACTCAAATGGCATTATCTTACATATTTATCATTGTTCCTTGAAATGTAAATTACCACTTTAATGTGTATGTATTTTAGAGAAGCAGCAACACGTTACTGCAAGCTTATACAGAAAATAAATCTCTAATGCAGAAACAAAAATAACGACATCAGCAAACAATTAAAAGCAATTAATGTAGTAGAAATTAATTCAAGGGCAATGAAGGAAAATGCAGATTAGAGGTTGATTAGTAATCAAGCAAACCTTTTCAGTTTGGTGCACAAAATCTGTTGAAATATTTAATTGATTGCCCATGCAATAACATGCATTTTAATTAAAATATAGGTAAAAAATAAATTCAAAAATTAGCTCTCCCCCCCAGCTCAGAATGCACACAAAATCAGTTATCACCTGACTTACCTTTAAGACTAGCTTGGCCACAGCACGGGTGAATCCACAGTTTTTCAGGTGTTTAACCCATTTCAGCCATGGTCCCATAGACTTTCTATTGAATTGCACATTTTTGGAATGTTTTCTGAAAGAGCAGCAAAAGATGCAGCATGCAGGACTTTTGGTGTGCTTTCAGAAAACATGCCAGAAAGCTGTGACCAAATAAAATGTCTATAGAACTGCAGCCGAAATGCACAAAAGCCAATCCGTAGCCTAGCAGTGTGAAGCCAGTCTAACAGATGAAAAATATAACAACCCAAAAACTGCAGATCCTGTGCTACATGACTCCCTTGTCTGTATCACTTAAAAAGGACTATATGAAGATGGTCCTTAGAAGTCTAGGGTTACACTATGAACACTAAGCAATCTGCTTTTTCTTAGCTCCACACTTTTCCTAAAGTGTGCACAGCTATAACAAGACTTTGTCCAAGAACATAATCATTCTGGCTGAAATAACATAAAAAGTACAGTCCGAAGGATAAATCACCCAGGGTACTTAAAAGCAGCTTACTGCTGCTCTCAGCCAAACCTGTGAGAGCAGAGAGAAGAGCTGCAGAAGACATGCACAGCGCTGGATCAAGATCAGGCAAGTATTAAGGGGGGCTGCAGGAGAGCTACTACTAAAATGTTTTTTTGCCTTAATACAGACAAGTCATTAAATTGGAAGTAAAGTCTATTTTGTATGTTTTACCTACAGGTAAGCCTTTAATAAAGGCTTACCTCTAGGTACTGTAAATATCTCCTTGAATAGTTTATCATTGTATCCAGTCAAGGAATACCGAATAAATAACCAGAGGATTTGGCCATTTGGTCAAGGGTAAGGTTACAAGCTTGAGACATTACTGGCCAAAAATCACATTATAGCTATACAGAACATATGCAGATTACCAAATAGGGGACATGTTGGCCTGATCATTTGCTTGTGCAGATTGAGGGATGCGCTCTCATGACCACATGTGGGCTATGGATCGCCTGTACCCATGAAACAGCACTTTTTCTTTAAAATGTCTACATTACCAAGCCCCAATCTATGCATGTACGTACGTATTCTGACTTTAGCTGATCTTGATGGAAAAAGTTGCTCTGTGTCGGTTTAATGAGGGGGGCGTTAGATTATATACAGATAACAGAAAATGAGGAACCAAATCAAAAACAGAATTATATTGTAAGTGCCTGTTGATGACTAACTTAATACCTTTCTGGTCAGCAGGGTGAGGGGGTACATGGGGGTACTTGGAGTGCTTCTTGATGTGGAAGTTGACGTTGTCCATCTCCACATTGAGGCTGATGGAAGCGGCCGAATCACTATCCATAGCAGACTGGAAGCTGCTGACTGATGTGCGTTTGCTAGGACTTGCGGAATCTTTGCATGATGCAGATAAGGAAAAGAGCAAAGGGTAGAGGAGGGAAACATAGGGAAATTGGGGAGGATGGAAAAAAAACTACATTTAGTACAAAAGGTCCCCAAGAAGAGTCCCTAAATGCAACTATGGGTAAATTTTACAAACAGACATTCATTAAACCAATATAATAGCAAAGAAATACTCTATGCATTTAGTTGTACTCGAGGACAGACCCTGGGGAACTTGACAAAGGAGTATCTATATACTAGCATATCAACTTCATACTAATACAGGATAGAGAATGAAAGGTAGAAACTCAAGGCTAATACAAGCAAAAGGAGCAGGTGATGTATCCTTAAAGTAGCACAAACCCCACACAAGACAATGTATGACTGAGGACAGTGTTAAAAGCTTAAAAAAAAAAAAAAAACACACACACACACACAACATGACTTTGCCATTAAAGCCAGTTAGTTGTAAAATCTTATATGCCACTGCAGGCAACCAAGTCCATGCATCAACTCATGCAACCATATTTCCATAAAAATATCCAAGGCTGGTTACACATTAAAAAAGAAAAATGAATCTAACCAACAGTGGCAATTGTAAGTAGCATGATTGCACCATTAAATAGCCTGTTATCAGTTTTCGAGAGTAGTAAATGATCTCTGCTTCTAAGCACGTTTCACCATCACATTTTAGGCCTGTATTGACGGCTTTAGACTTGTGTCAGCGACATCAGTTTGACGTCTGAGATTCAGAATTCACCAACAGGTACATTAAATCTGCAGTCTACCTTCTTTTGACCTGCTTTAGGACCAATTCATACCACATTTTTTTCTGTATCATAAAAACGCATGCACAGTAGATTATATGGGTTCCAATTGTGGAGTGCGTTCTAGTACAGTCAAAAAAATAAGGAAATGCTACATTTTTTTCTGCACTGAACTGTTTTGGAATGCAATAAAAAACATCAAGAACACAATGGACTGCGTTTTTACCCGTGATTTCTGTTAGTTGTTAGGATGTCTGCAGGTGTTGGCTCCTTACAACCAATGACTCCTCCCTGCTGTCAGCATCAGGAATGAGTCATCAGTTGTTAAGGAGCCAGCACCCGCCGACTTCCTAACAACCTTGAGTCATTCCTGCTGTTAGCAGTGAATCCCCACTGACAGCAGAACGTAAACAGAAGAGCCGGGATTAAAATTAAAAAAAAAAAAAAAAAAAACACACCACACAGAATAGTGCCTCCACCCCCCTACCCATAGCAAGGCCCCTTTGGTCTTGTATGGATTTTGAAGGGCACCCCACACCAATAAAAAAAAAAAAAAAATTGTACAGCACATCAACTCATGGGCTTTATTTCATCTCTTCACTTCAATGCAATGAAGAAATTCCTCACAGAATATAACAATTCGCAAACATTGGACTTACCATCTATATTGTGAATAGCTCTCTTCTGATTACATAAAAGCAGAGAATTAAGGATTATTTTCTTTTTTAGTTCTGTATACTGCAAGGAATAGTTAGAACTCATAGTTCTTCCATCTGTATTCCATTGGGGAGATTTCCCTTCACTTCTTGCCCCAGACACAACAGTATGTGACAGAAAATATTTCCAAAGTGAGGGCAAACTCCTATCAGACGGTCATCCTCATTGGAAGATTTTTTCACCTCTCCTCCTGATGGGGACAGTAAAACATTGGACTTCCCATTACTTTTTGAGTGGGGCGAATTTTGAATCTCCACAGTGGTGACTTGCACAACAAGTACTCCAAAGTGGTCCTAAAGGTCTGAGTTTTTTTACCTTAATGCATTCTATTCTACTGGCTCAGGGGTGAGCACGCACGCAGCAAGCGGCCAGGAGCACCGGAGGGGGACCCAAAAAGAGGGGGATCAAGGCTGCTCTGTACAAAACGATTGCACAGAGCAGGCAAGTATGACGCTTGCTTTTTTTTTTTTTTTTTTTTTTTTAATTTTCTACCTTTACAAATCACTTTAGTGAGGTTCTAACAGTTTTCTACTCTAGCCCAAACTAAAAAAGTGAAAGCTATGAAAGCAGCACATAATAGTGTTTAGTTGGTACTACCTGCTGCTAGTGTAACTTGCACCACAGGGATATACAGTTGTGTTCAAAATAATAGCAGTGTGTTGAAAAAAGTGAATAAAGCTCAAAATCCTTCTAATAGCTTATATTTCCATACACACAAATGCATTGGGAACACTACACATTCTATTCCAAATCAAAACATGAAGAAAAATATATCAAATTTGTGTTGTTCCTCTAAAAAAAAACTGAAGAAAAGTGAATATTAGACTGTTCAAAAAAAGTGTTTGTATTCTTCTTTACAAACTCAAACATTCACTATATAAACTGAAAAATGTTTGAAGTTTTTGCTTTCCTTTGAATCAATTAATATTTTCGTTGTATAAGCACTGTTTCTGAGAACTGCTGTACATCTGTGTTGCATGGAGTCAACCAACTTCTGGCACCTGTGAACAGGTATTCCAGCCCAGGATGATTGGACTACATTCCACAGTTCTTCTCTATTTCTAGGTTTGCCTCAAACTGCATTTTTGATGTCACCCCACAAGTTTTCTATTGGATTAAGATCCGGGGATTGGGCTGGCCACTCCATAACGTCAATCTTGTTGGTCTGGAACCAAGATGTTGCACGTTTACTGGTGTGTTTGGGGTCGTTGTCTTGTTGGAACACCCATTTCAAGGACATTTCCTCTTCAGCATAAGGCAGCATGACATCTTCCAGTATTCTGATGTATTTAAACTGATCCATGATCCCTGTTATGCGATAAATAGGCCCAACACCGTAGTATGAGAAACATCCCCATATCATGATGCTTGCGCAACCATGCTTCACTGTCTTCACAGTGTACTGTGGCTTGAATTCAATGTTTGGGGGTCGTCTGACAAACTGTCTCCGGCCACTAGACCCAAAAAGAACCATCTTACTTTCATCAGTCCACAAAATGTTGCGCCATTTCTCTTTAGGAACGTCAATGTGCTCTTTGGTAAATTTAACCTCTTCAGCACGTTTTTTTTTTCAACAGTGGGACTTTGCGGGGGCTTCTTGCAGATAGCTTGGCTTCACATAGGCGTCTTCTAATTGTAACAGTACTCACAGGTAACTTTAGACCTTCTTTGATCTTCCTGGAGCTGATTGTTGGCTGAGTCCTTACCATTTTGACTATTCTCCTATCCATTCGAATGGTAGTTTTTTTGCTTTCTTCCACGTTTCTTCCGGTTTTGGTTGCCATTTTAAATAATTTGCGATCATTTTAGCTGAGCAGCCTATCATTTTCTACACTTTTTTATATGTTTTTTACTCTCCAATCAACTTTTTAATCAAGGTACGCTGTTCTTCTGAACAATGTCTGAAACTACCCATTTTCCTCAGAATTTCAGAGAGAAATGCACTGTAACCAGCATGTACAACATTTGCTGCCTTCCTTCCTTAACCAAGGGCAATATTTACCACCTGTTTTTCAAAGAATAAATGACCTAATAGAACTCCACACTGCTATTTTTTTGAACATGCCCCTTCAATTACACAGAATCAGCAGCATGCATGTCATGACTGTTGGGCCTATTGGATTTCTATTACTCTACTACACCTGCTAGTAAATTATTTGCCATGTAGAAATATCATTTCAACCAAAAACAGTGATTGAACGCAAATATATATATATATATATATATATATATATATATAAATAAATAAAACAGACGAGTTTAGTAGCAAAGTAATGCTAATAAAATCACTAGTGTACTTTAGGTCTTAGGCTAGTAGCACTACAGCCTATGAACAACCACAAAAAAAGCAACAGCCTTGGACACACTAACATATTTGCAATTAAAGTGTTACTGCACCCAAAACATTTTAGGTTTTGGACAGAATTAAATTTAGAACCTCTTTCCAGTTATTTTGCCTTTGTCCCTTTTAGTTCGGTGTTCCTGCCCTCCTTGTCCTCAAAGACACAAAAGGAATGAATCTGAAATCTTTCCAAAGTAAGGGGAAATTGCACCTTTAAAAGTGGTTGCAAGAGCAAATGTCCCTAAAGGAATAAGACATGTCCTCTGCTCCTGTTCCAGTAAGAATCTTAACATTTGCATTCCCCATCATGGTCTCTCCAATGGTCACCAGAATAAACAATACACGTAGATCTCCTCAACTGGAACACAGCCAGTAATCTGACAGAGGCTCTAACCACTTTACACTTTAAATCTGGGAAAAATGCTTTAGCTGGAGTTCAACATTCAGTAAAAATCTGAATTGATAATCATTTAAAAGATGTGATTTGTAAAACTATGTAGGAAACAAAGACCACAGGATATGGAATTATTAACCCTGAGCTCCGGGTTAAGCAAATATTGTGAAGAAAAAGCATATGTGTTGCATCTTGGGAGCACTTTATTTTTCCACTCTTACTCTTAAGTACTTACTAGTTAAATTATCTTCACCCTCATCTGCAATTTGTTCTGTGTCGCTGTCATCAAATTTTATGTCCTTAAACCAGGATGGCTCCGAGTGTCCTTCCACAGAGTTCACAGAATCACTATCAGGGGAAGGAGTCTCTGAAAACTCAGTGCTCTGAAATTATAAAAAGGAGTTACAGGTAAATGATGTCTGCTCATGCAGCATGAAGTTAGAACATCACATTTAAGCAATTTTACTTCCACTTTTCAAAAGGCCATATTTTCTGCTCTAACAGAGAGCAAAAGAATGCACAAACTAGTTTTAGAAGACACAGAGCTAGGATTGTTTATGTCATAAAGGAAACTGGCTGCAATGTATTTGTGAAATAAAAATAAATATGAAGTTAGGGCATTTTTCAATACTAAAAACTTTTCTACATTTATTTCAAATTGGTGAACAAGTCAGACCACTCCTCAATTACCATTTTATCATATCTCTCCACGAATAATTTTTCTCTTCAAAAAACAAAACCATTCCTAGCAGAATTATACATTTTATTCTATGAATTCCTGCAATCAGAGTGAGAGGGCTACTTCCTCTCTAGACCTAAACATTTTAACCCATCTGTTCTTGCTATGAACCAAAGAGCCCATTACACAGTAAGAATTGACAATCCAATATAAGCTCACGAAAAAAAAAAAAAAAAAAAATGTCCCTTCATGTTGTGCATCTGCTTGCCACCTCTTTCCACAACTTCCAGGACTCCCTGCATACTTTGCTGGTTCTCCTCTGCCATTTTACTTTTAACTTCTAAGGACTACATATCCGATGGAACCTTGCGGCATCTCAAGCAGTGTTTCCTGTACTGACTCCGCCTCCTGAAACTCTGCTTCTCAGCACTTCTGTAGTTCAGAAGGCAGGCTCTGTGAATTCAACAACACAATGCGCACTCACAGAGCACAGAGAGCACGTGTAACAGAATTCAAGTGTATGGGGATATTCATAAAGGAAGTTTAGAAATTTCAAGCTCAGATTAATAGAAGTAGGCTTGAAAATACAAAAACAACACAGAAATGAATATTTAATTTAACCTGCTCCTGCCAGCCGCACATATATAGGCGGCCACTGGGTGGGTGGTCTTGAACGTAGAGTGGCTGCATAAAGGCGTCCATAGAGAACAATTTTCTGTGTTGAAAGCCCGCTCACTGCATGCTCCCAGCACAGTAAACATGTCATGGGAAGCTCCCATTATATACTCGCGATCGGGAGCTTTCCATCATGTAACCATTGTGACAGCTAATCACAGCAGTCACATGATCGAACACCCACCTCTGCCTCCCAGCATTTAGATTCTCCTAAAGATCTGGGAGCAGCAGCTGGAAGGTGTTACAATTTTGACCATGAACACTTTAACCACCCAGCACACTCATCTCTTAACAGATGGAATGCCAATATTAGAGCAGCTAAATACAACTTGTCATACCTGAAGGGGTCTGTATAAGGCATATTCATCACGAAAAAGTTGATCATGGTGGGTGACACAGTCTAGCCATCGACCATCCACAAGAGCTTGTCCAATTGCTATAGCCTGTGCTCTGAAAATAGATATAGTAAAAAAAAAAAAAAAAAAAGTTGGTATGTGGAAATTCTAGATCTGATCACAATCTATTCTACATCTATCAACATCTATTGTCTGAATCAAAATTCAGAGGTATTTTTGCAGGGAGTGCTGGCAAAAATTATGGATTTTAAGAAGGGTAGTCTGATTCTGGCAGGAGATTTTAATTGATGTTTGGATCCATGGATGGACAGGTCTTCAAATGTGCCGAGGAGGGGAAAAAAAATTAATATTGTTAAAAAAGATGTTACATCAAAGTCAATTGATCGATACATGGAGGGTGAAATATCCCATAAAAAGATTATACCCTCTCTCTAGTGCATAGATCATACTCATGTTTAGATTATATAATGATCGAGCATAGACAACTGGATTTCCTGGTTAAACTTAATATAGAAGTTATGTCTATCTCAGATCATGCACCTGTTACAGTGAGACTACAGGTAGGAGGGGAGGGGAATAAGAGGGCTATGTGGAGACTGAGACACTTATACAGGATCTTGGGATAGAGGAAAAGCTAAGAGATGAAATAGAGCAATATTTTCTTCTAAATGAGACGGAAGGAGTCTCTAAGGCTACCATTTGGGAGGCACATAAGGCTTACATCAGGGGGATCTTGACAGCTGCTGAGTTGATGGGGGAGTTATATAGATTAGAACAGGAGCATAAAAAGAGAGGCAGGATACAGAGATACAGCAGAAGACTATCCTTAAGAGAAAGGAGTTAAAGGACCTGTTGGAACAGGGGACGAGGAGGATTTTTAATAGGGTCTCCAAGGAAAGATATCAGTGGGGGAAAAAAACCAGGGAAACATCTGATGAAAAGATTGAAAGAAATCGAATTTCATTGAAAAAATAGGATGAAAAAGGAGAACTGGTATACTCCATCACTGATATTGTGAAAATATTCCAAAAATAGTGGGTTGTATGATGTGAACCCCAAGAACCAGATGGTAACAGAGGAAGTAAAGAAAGGGAAAAAAGGTGGGGGAATATCTAGAGGCAGCAGATCTGCCAAAAATACCAGAGAAAAAGTTAATATCATTAGAATGAGCAATCTCCCAGGATGAAATAAGCGTAGCCCCAAAGAATAGAGCGGGAGGAAAGAGTCCAGGACTTGATGGGTATACAGTGTGGTATTATAAGAACTTTAAAGATTTATTGACCCCTAAACTTTGAATATATATGAATGCCCTAGGGGAAGGAATGGGAATAAGAGAAGAAGCCCTACAAGCATACATAACAATCATTCTTAACCTCCCTAGCGGTATGATGTCAGTATTTCTGTGCTCAAAGTGGAAATATTTTTTTTTTTTTTTATTGTAGGCCTGTAATTCTTAGGAATAACTCACTGAAATCTGTTTAAACAAAAGTCTAGTAGACATACTGGGTGCGATAAGGTTTAATATATTAAATCATAAATAATATATTAGAAAAATATAATAAATTAAATAATGTAATCAAGTCAAAACACACAGAACTCTGTCCAAACAAGGGTGCAATATTATATAGACACTGCATATTGTTCTACAAAATATCCCAGGTGTGGTAAATCTTGAAACACAGGACTGCACATCACAATCAAGACAGTGGAACCTCGTTTCTTTGCGGATTTTTTTGATCACAGGGAAATGCAAGTGCCGGTTCTCGGCTGCACTTTCCTCACGCTGTCAGATCGTGAGGAAAGTACTGCCGAGAACCGGCAGTTGTCACAGCGGGGATCGGCACCGATCATCAGGACACTGATGATCAGTGCCCTGATGATCGGTGCCCAGCAGTGCCACCCGCAAGTTCCGCCCACCTGTGCCCAGCAGTGCCACCCGCAAGTTCCACCCATCTGTGCCCAGCAGTGCGCCCACTAGCTCCGCCCACTTGTGCCCAGCAGTGCCACCCACCTGTGCCAGAAGTGCCACCCACCTGTGCCCAGAAGTGCCACCCACCTGTGCCCAGAAGTGCCACCCACCTGTGCCCAGAAGTGCCACCCACCTGTGCCCAGAAGTGCCACCCACCTGTGCCCAGAAGTGCCACCCACCTGTGCCCGCCCACCAGTGCCCGCCCACCAGTGCCCGTCAGTGCCAGGGGTTGTGCCAGTCAGTGCCCAGCAGTGATGCCAGTCAGTGCCGTCTATCAGTACCCATCATCAGTGTCACCTATCAGTGCCGCCTATCAGTGCTGCATATTAGTGCCGCCTATCCGTGACACCTCATTAGTGCTGTCTATCAGTGCCGCCTATCAGTGCCCATCAGTGCTGCCTCATCAACACACATCAGTGAAGGAGAAAAAATACCTGTTTGAAAAATTTTATAATAGAAACAAGGAAAATTTTTTTTCTTTTTTTTTTCAAATTTTTTGCACTTTTTTTATTTATAGTGCAAAAAGTAAAGCGCCCAGTGGCAATTAAATACCACCAAAAGAAAGCTCTATTTGTGAGAAAAAAAATGATCAAAATTTCATATGGGTACAATGTTGCATGACCGCGCAATTGTCAATCAAAGTGCGGCAGCGCTGAAAGCTGAAAATTGGCCTGGTAAGGAAGGGGGTATAAGTGCCTGTAGGCAAGTGGTTAACGCTACCAAACCTAATGGGATTACTAAAACAATATGGTGAGCTTGAAAATAAACCCCACAAAATCAGAGATCTTGAATGTGAATATTTCAAAGAAAGATAAGCAGACCCTACAAAAAGGACTTTTCATTTACATGGAGTGAGAAGGAATTAGGCTATTTGGGAATAAAGCTAACCCCTCAAAAAATATATACCAGGCAAATTATATACCATTAATAAATGAAATAAAAGAAGAGCTGAGAAGAATTTCAAGGGGTAAGGTTTCCTGGATTGGGCATATAAATTTGGTTAAGATGTTGATAGTCCCCAGAATTCTGTATAAATTTCATATGCTCCCAGTCAGAGGCGGACTGACAACTCATGGGGCCCCCGGGCAATAGGGGATCATGGGGCCCCTGTGTCCTTGCCCAAACTCAAAAAAGCCTATGAAAAAAGGTACCAGGGGAATCTCATGGGGCCCCTGTGTCCTTGCCCAAACTCAAAAAAGCCTATGAAAAAAAAGGTACCAGGGGCATCTCATGGGGCCCCCTACTGACCCCGGGCCCTCGGGCAGTGCCTGAGTTTCCAAATGTTCAGTCTGCCCCTGCTCCCAGTTCAAATACCAGGATCCTTTTTTGGGATAATAAAAAAAATACTTATGGAAATATACAAGCATATGAAAATATACAAGCATATGGGTTGGAAATATAATTCTTTGATTCCTTTGGTGGGGATGAAGTTTTTTTATTTCAGGGAAGTGGTTTAAAAAGGAGGATGCATATTTAGGGGATATAGTGAATAAGGGGGAGTTGTACACGTTTCAAGATTTAAAAAGAAAAAGATTTGTTGTATTAGATGAAATATCATCAAATTAAGACATCTGAGGATGACGGAGGATATGCTACAAATTTGAGAAAATGATGAGCTCTGAAAGAGCACCAAAGCATAGAACTTCTAAGATATACAAGATCCTTATTGAACTGAAGGGAACGGGTCCTCCGCTGTTCTTAAGAGAAATGGGAAAGGGAGCTGGGAATGAAAATAAGTGAACAGCAGAAAAACAAACAGTTTAAATTGACACATCAGGTAATGAATATGAGCACGGTTGAAATTAATTACATGTGTTTAACCAGATGGAATTTTACACCGAGTGTGGCACACAGACAGACAGTGACGGGAGGTTTCACAGTTGTGTTGGAGGGGATGTGGATTAAAGGGAACTATGGCATATATATATGGTGAGATTGTCCCAAAATACAGATGTTTTGGCAACATATAATATAAATCATACAAGAGATAATGGGGATCACTATCCATAAAGAACCATGGGGATATTTATTTTATAAGTCAGAAATACCAGTGAAACAATACAAAAATAGTATACTAGATCATTTAATTAGTGCGGCCAAGGGACTTACTCCCAAATTTTGGCAGGTTCAGGGACCCCCAACATTGAGGGACTGGATTGATAGAGTCGATTACATAAATAAGATGGAAGAGCTATGTCATATAGATGAAGATAAAATGGAAAAAGTTTAGAAAGGAACTGAGTAGTGTGTATGATTTTCAGACAAAAAAAAAAAACCACCACAAGGAAGTAGTATGAACCCCAGACGGATTGATGTAGGAGAATTGAACTGAATAGGAGGAGATGAGTAAAGAAAAGAGAGATAGATATGCATAGGAATTGATGGAAAGAGTTGGATAGAATCATATGGACCAGGGAAATGTGGGGTGGGAGAGGGAGGGTGGGGTGGTTGAGGAAATATAGGGGAATGGTTAGTATTGATCATTTGACAACTATGAATGTATGTTTTAAGCTTTGAAAAAAAAAAAAAAAAAATGAAAATAAAAAGAAGAATGTACTAAACTGTTGATCTGGCCACCCCTAATGTTGCTGCTATCTCTCTGATGGATTTGGTTCGTTTTTGAAGCCTTTACAATGGCCTGTTTCACTTGCATGGACAGCTCCTTTGAACGCATAATGTAGGTTCACAGCAATAGATTCCAGTTGCAAATACCACACTTAGAATAAACTCCAGACCTTTTACCTGCTTTACTGATGAAAAAATAACGAAGGAGTAGCCCACACCTGGCCATGAAACAGATTTTGATTCAATTGTCAAATTAATTACTTTGGGTCACTTGAAAAAGGGGGATGAATACTCTTAAGAGCTGTAATTCCTAAACCTTTCCTCCAATTTGGAGGTACATACCCTCAAATTAAACATGAGAGTGTGCACTTTCAGCTCATATCTATTATATAACTATAGCTTGAATAGTTTTTGGTAAATACCTGAAAAAACTAAAATTGTGCCTGTGTCCAAATATATATGGACCCAACTGTGTGTATATGTATGTATAAATACATATTTTACATACATATTTTTTTTCCTCTAATAAAAATGAAGCTGTGTGGCTTACCGAGTTGTAATGTGCCCATTTCTAATTAGCCAGTTAACAAGCTCCTTTCCCACAATGCAGTTGGGGTATGTTCTCAGCCAATAACGATGGTCCTGAAACTCCATACCGCTGTTGTGGTGACAGATCTTTTTCCACAAATCCTTCAGCTGCACAGAATCCTAAATGAGCATAATCAAAAATTATTGAATAGTTTTAATAAAGCTTTATTTAGTCCTTGAACTATTAATGTAACTTTAGCCAAAACATCTTCTCTCATTCCTACAGTTTATCAAAAGGTTAAAAAAGTACTGTGCAATTTAATTGCTTGCTCAGAGATGAGCAATGTATTCTATAAATCTAACCTAAAAGTGATACTAAAGCTAAAAACATTTTTTACCTTGCATTAAAAGGGAAAAAAAAAAAAAGAAAAAAAAAAAAAAAAAAAAAAAAAAAAAAAAAACACATTTTCTACTTCCGACTTTAGAAACACTAACATTTCTCTAAAAAAGGAAGGAAAGAACCATTTTTTATTTCTTTGTAAAGATTTATAATTAAGAGCCCTTTCACATGGGTGGACCAATGGTGTCCACCTGTCCAATATTCAGGCGGACCCGATTGGACCATGCATTGCCCTTAGTAGTGTGGTGGATGTAAACGGACATGTGTCAGTTTATACCTGCCTGCATCTGATCTGATTCTATCCACTAAAAACTGTCTGGCAATTCAGATGACAGTTGGATGTAAAAACAGACAGGCGGTCCATTTACAAGTTAATGAAAGCAAGGACCAGAGATTTTTTTTTTCCTGATTAAATGCACCTCCGTGACCCCTACATTTTATCACTGGTTAAGCCTGCATATAAATGCATTATAAACTACAACCAAAGAATAAATTCAATTAAAACACAGTGGATATTACAGCTGCAAAGAGCTGTTACATCACCTAGTAAATTTGTTTAGTAACTGAAATACCAACACTATATATAATACTTGCACTGAGGCTTAATGTACATGGACATAAAAAAAAGGCACTAATGTTATTTGTAGGATCTGCCTGGCAGAAAGATAGTGTAAAAAATGTTTTTGGGGTTTTTTCACACCAAAAAAAAAAAAAAAGTTATGTTCCATAAAGACCTGTAAATGTGCATATGTATATACATGTGTAAAATCTTCAATGCTTGCAATTTACAAGCATAAGCCCATATATACTTTCACATATGCATATAAATTACTGCACTAAAATGTATAATTTTAGTGCATTACATATCTTCACAGAGCTGTGTGCATTGTCCTATAGACCAGAGTTCAGCTCAGTAAACATTATGGCTACAACACACAGCACCTTTTTCACCTGTATAAAAAAAGGCCTAAGTGATGCCTTTTGCCCTTGTTGTAAAGTTAACACAACATACAAGATTATTGTCCATCCAAACAAAAGTTGTATTTGCAATAAAAAAAAATAAAAAAAATAAAAAAACACAGATGTTTACCAGTAGTATTTTTCTTTCCTCTTCATTAGTATCATTCTTCAAGTATGTGCGAGAAGCTTGGGGGCTGACAGATGATTCGTAAGGTGGCACCATAGGGGATCCAGAACGATCCAGTGATAGATTAGTAATACTGGCTGACCTAAAGACAAAAAAGGAAAATGTGTTACAAGTACAGAGAGAAAAAAGAAATGAAGTAAAACAAATAGTCCATGAACCCAAGCATCTACTCCCACATACTGCTGCCTACTTAGAAGTGCCACCAAGACCCACAGATATTTACATTTTACAGTTTTCACAGAATAGAAGTGAAGGATAAACCTACAAAAGACACTTGTTCTGGAGACAATACACCTTAATTTTGAGAGTTTCCCCCTCACCTTCTTAGTGTCTTTGGGACAGGAAGCAAAGGAAAATCTCTCAGACAGGATGCAGATATAAAACTATTAACTATTTCCCACTCTATAAAAAGTAAAACAGTTTGGTTATATATTCACTTTAAACTTATCAATTCCCTGAAGACAACATTGTCTGGATGGGAGCATATTCTGCACTAAATCCTGGATACATCTTTCAGCACTGATGGTGCCTTTGCAGATGTGCAAGCTGACCATTCTATACGCACAAATGCCCCCATATCATTAGAGATGCAGGATTTTGAACTGAGTGCGGATAACAAGCTGGAAGGTCTGACTCCTCTTTAGTCCAGAAGACACGGCACCCAGGGCTACCAAAAATAATGTCAAATGTTGATTCGTCTGACTACAGTACAGTTTTCCACTTTGCAACAGACTATTTTAAATGAGCTTTGGCCCACAGCAGATTGCAGCATTTCTGGTTCATGTTCAGATATGGCTCCTCCTTTGCATGACAGGAGTTTTCACTTTCATTTTTGGGTGGCACGGTAAAGAGTGTTCACAGACAGTGATTTCCAGAAGTATCCCTGAGCTCATGCAATGATGTCCATCACAGAAGCATGCCTGTTTTAATGCAGTGCTGTCTGAAGACCCGAAGATCACAGATATTCAATATAGCGTTTTGGCCTATAGGCATCATCTCAGTATTTTTTTCAGCCAGCAATTCCTGTAATGTAAATGTCATCCTAGTGGCTAACTCGCTGCTGGATTTCTTTTACAACTGGCGGGAGGGTCCTCCGATGCCTCCCTGGCCTCTCCTGTCCCGGCAGGGAGCCAGGCACTGAAGCCCACCAACTTACCATAGAGCTGGTCGGGGACTGGATCTTCTCCAATCATATCTATGGTCTTAGAAACCAGAAGCAACGAGTATTTTGTCACTTCCAGTCTTCTGTTTACAAGCTACTGCTAGCTTGTATGTGCATTGGATCAAACCGATCTTGGTCTGACCTGATGCTGTTAAAAGGCAGAGGAGACATCTTGAGTCTAATTGCCTAAAAACGGACATAACAAACAGAACAGATGTAAATGGATGGCATCCATTTAAAAAAACAGAACTGAACAGAAGTGGATGTAAACAGATGAGCTGGCACCTGCTGGCATCCTGACAACCAGTGACTTATCTCTACTGTCAGCTGTCAACAAAAGGGGGGGCAGTGTGAGGAAGGAGAGGAGCAGTGTGTACATACACTCCCTCACTTGCTGGCGCTGAATGCAATTGGCGCTCCTCTGTTTACTTTAGAAAGAGAGGCCACTCTGCCGAAGTAGAGAAGGAAGGAAAGAAAAGGGGGGTTGTCACACCTTTTTTGTCCTCACACAAACACCTGAGACTGTGGCTCTTCCATCTGCATAGGACTATGCTACTCCCATTAAATTTTAGTTTTGGGAATATATATCATACAGGATAAAAATCAATAAAAGCCCTTGGACTTGGGAAACTGAAGCAACCAGATGCATAAACACAGGGGCTACTCTGCTTATATAACCATGAAAGTACCAGTACAGGTCACTGGCTTAACATAAAAACTTTGTCATGTCTTGTAGTTCACCAATTAGAAGCCTCTCTAGAATGCCACAGACCAGAGCAGAGCAATAGGACCCTGCAAATGATGTCCACAAGAGATTAAATCTACGGCCAGACTCACACTAGAGCATTATAAAAAGTCACATAATCAAGTGTCTGTTAAAATGCATTGTGCATGTCTGCATTTTTAAAAACTATGTACATTTATTGTATTATCATCTGTAACAACCAATACAAAAAAAATTGTATTTACCTTTAAATTAGTCATCTTGGAGTATGATACAAGATTTGTATTCATAGATCATTGGTTATATGCAGGCTACCTTCAGCTGAATGGACACTATATAAAACTTGCTATAGTGGTCCCTAGTGCTCACTCATCTAAACCTGCACACTCCGTGAGACTTCAAATTTTTTTTTTGCAAGCAATAAGAAGTGATCAAATACATGGGGGGGGGGGGGGGGCTCATGTCTGGTACTATACTCCTGGATGAGGAATTTACAGGCAAGTCAAAATTCCCATTGTCTTAATTGTACAGTACAGGAGACAAGACTTGTTTTCATAGACTACAGGATGCACCCAAGCAGTAAACTGAGGGTTGGGCAACAACAACTGCCAATAGACCCCCAAAAACAAGAGTTAAGAACCGAGAAATACTCAGACAGCTTAAAAGTATCGTGCTGAAGAAGCTCACATCCACTGAGGCCTGAACATCTATTTAGAAAAACTAAAAAAAAAAAAAAGACGTGTAAACAGAGGACCAGGTGGGAGCCTTGAAAAGCTAAGATACAGATGTTATATGATAAATAGCTTAAGAGACTAATAGCCTTGGTGCAATGAGCTCTGACATGGAAGGGAGGAACCGTTTTCATTAAGGGCGTAGACCCTATAAATAATTTGCCTAATCCACCTGGCATTAGTGTATCAGAAAGCAGGATCCAGTCTACGAGGACAAATAGGCAGAACAAAGAGGAACTCATTTTGCAAAAGCCATGGCTGATAGGTGAACTCAACTGTCCTGACCAAATCCAAGCAGTGAAGGGCAATTTACTTGGCATTTTTGGGACAGGACAGGGGGGAAATAATAATGTTCTCACTGAGATGGAAAGAAAAAGCCACCTTCGATAAAAAGGAAGGTTTTGGTCTCACCACAATCTTAACTACACTTTAATGGCATCCCAGTCTTAGTCTATAGGGTTCAATATTGGGTTGGCCCACCCTTTGCAGCTATAACAGTTTTAGCTCTTTTGGGAAGGCTGTCCACAAGGTTTAGGAGTGTGTGTATGGGAATGTTTGACCATTCTTCCAGAAGCTCATTTGTGAGGTCAGGCACTGGAAGGGAAGGCCTGGCTCGCAGTCTCCACTCTATTTCATCCCAAAGGTGTTCTATCAGGTTGAGGACAGGACTCTGTGCAGACCAGTCAAGTTCCTCCACCCCAAACTCACTCATCAATATCTTTATGGACCTCGTTTTGTACACTGGTGAGCAATCATGTTAGAACAAGAAGGGTGGCCATCCTCAAAACTGTTCCCACAAAGTTGGGAGAGTGATATTGTCCAAAATGTCTTGGTATGTTGATGCCTTAAGAGTTCCCTTCACTGGAACTAAGGGGCCAAGCTCAACCCAAGAAAAAACCCCACACCACAACCCCCCCCCCCACCACCACCAAATTTGACACAATGCAGTCAGGCAAGTACCGTTCTCCTGGCAACTGCCAAACCCAGACAACTCCATCGGATTTCAAGACAGAGAAGCGTGATTCATCACTCCAGAGAACACGTTTCCACTGCTCTAGACTCCATTGGCGGTGTACTTTACACAACTGCATTCAACGCTTTGCATTGCACTTGGTGTTATAAGGCTTGAATGCAGCTGCTCGGCCATGAAAAAACATTCCATGAAGCTCTCTATGCATTGTGGTTGTGCTAATCTGAAGGCCACATGAAGCTTACATGTCTTTAGCTATTAACTCTGCAGACCCCGCTCTGCCATAAAGCGATAGGCCACATAAAATGACAGAGTTGCTGCTATTCCCAGTTGCTTCCACATTGTTATAATACAACAGTTGACTGTGGAATATTTAGTAGCAAGGAAATTTCATGGATGGACTTACTGCACAGGTGGCAACCTATCATGGTACCACACTTGAATTCACTGAGCTCCTGAGACCAATCCATTCTTTCACAAATATTTGTAGAAGTAGTCTGCATACCTAGGTGGTTTGATTTCATATACCTGTGGCCATGGAGGTGATTGGAACACCTGAATCCAATGATTTGGAGGGGTGTCCCAATACGTTTGGCAATACAGCGTATGTGCAAACCAAGAACGGCTCTTTACAAGAAACAGCTACCACATCAGAAAAATGTCTAACAAATGTATTGGGCACCAAAGTAGGTCTCCCTTTATACGAGATCTTCCACCAAGTTGACATCACAATGTGACACGAGGCCACACCTATGATCCACTATTGCTAAGAGAGAGCCGCCCCAGTGGGGTAAACACAGAATGGAGTGGGGACTGGATGGGGTTTTGAGTGTCCAGATACTGGAGCCATTATAACCCAGGCACTGACTGTGTTCTTGTGGCTGTGTTACTGTAGCAGAACACACATGCTGTATGCATTTTCAGCGAATACAGTAGCAGGAATGTGTCAGTAGACATTACCAACTGCATCAGGCGGAGAGAAAACAAAGCCAATTTTAAATATATTGCTCCAAGGAATGGTAGAGACAAAATGGCTGGGGGTACCACAATTAAGTGAATAACTCCAAATGCTTCTGCCTATAAAACCGCATTGCTATCCTATTAAAGGCCAGTAACTGGTGTCAACATACAGGGAAATCTTATCTTACCCCTTGGGCCCTTTTAAGGGTCTAGGCTTTGCCCTTTATGTTGGGCATGCTCTCAAAGGGGCCAACCAGGTATGGAAACCATAGAAATGGACCATGGTTCTGGATATGAATAGCTTTCTGAGGCCAACTACACACGTTACACTTTGAGCTGAGGTGAACATCTAATGCAGGGTTCAGTGTCCGAAACAAATGTTACAAGCTGCCCCCCACACAGTCACCAAGGTAACACCAAAAAGATGGTGATCCAAAAGCCGACGTATAGCCTAAAATTAAAAAAAAAAAAAAA